AGTTTATCAAAAAGAACCCGACGATACATATTGACATACATACCAGTCATCTCATAATCGGCGGTCGAAGTTTTCGTGGAAGCACATGAACAATTTCGCGGTTATTTTCTCTCATCAGGTAGGCGCACTCAGATTCTGTTGTTCACATATTTTAACACCGTATATTTATTTTTGTTAGAGGCTTTTTATTTTCATATCGGGGCATATTCTTTTAGATATGTTCTTATTCTGCTCATTTGCAAATCACTGCCATATGTTTTCAGTCATCTATTTTGTGTCAGAAGCTGCACACTACAGCAAACAGATGGGTTCCCGAAGTTTTAATCAATATACCAGTGAAATGGTGTCCATTCCTTAAGTTCCTGCTTGTTACATATTATTCTGGGTGTAGTCTAAAATGCGGTTTTAAATGGTACAGTTCATACCACCATACCACCAAACAGCATGGTGGCTTAGTCGACTTATTCGGTTCTAGTGTGACTCACCGGTACCTTTATTCCTACCAATCAATGAATATTAGTTAGATGCATTGTATTGCTGCAAGCGCAAACGCATGCATTTCTCCACTTTTGCTAAGTGATTAGAATGTTTGATTTATCGCAAGCAAAACGTTATAATCAACTAATTTTATGGTTTCAAATGGAACGCAGCCGGTCCCACGTGTCAAATCTAATCCATAGGGATAAATTTGAGCCTTTTCCTAAATGCTCACAATTCCCAAGAACGGAAATTCCATTTGGTTTATCAGACCCGGTTAAAAGATTTTCATCTTCAACACTAGTGCAGTTTTCCAACTGAACAACCAAAACGATTGCAATATTACTTGTGGAATAAGCTTATATTGAATCAGAAAATGCTGACTATGTATGCACATTTTTACTATCGCGTAACTGTCACTTAGCAAATCACGCGAACACCATCGTTTGATCACTGATCGATCCAGAATCGTTTGAACCATCGATTAAAAACATTTTAAAGTTCCATCCATTCATAAATACCAAATCCTCTTTAGTCAATATTGGTTCCGCGAAAAGGGAAAGTTTGATTGGTTACATTTGAACACAAAAGGAACCAATCATATTCCATCCCGATTTTATGATAAACATTTCACATTTTTCGTTTGAATTAGAAAGCGACACAAATACCGAATCTGGTCTTCTGTGCGTATTAATTGAGGTTCATCGCACTCATGGCAGTAGCCACGATAAACTTGACTGTTAACATGACAATAATGGGCGATATGAATGCCTCCATTGCGGTTAACGAATGGGTTTTGATTGTCAGTACTTGTGTGCTTCTCTCGTTTGACACGGTTATCTCCTTCTACACCGCATTAGCTCTCACACAAACTCGGATCGATTCGGCCCTGTCGAAAATTCTCATGTACAATCATAATGTGTTCAACGGAACGTTCTGTATTGTGGTCAGTTATCTGCTGGTGTCGCTGAATTTCACTTTCCCATATGGAGCACCGTCAGGTGATCCGTTTGTCTGTCGTGTCGTACAAAGTGGGTTTCTGGTTGATCTATCTAGTACCGCTGTGATATGCAACGTAATATGTCAATGTGCTGATCGATTTTGGGCCAGCATTTACGTCAAATCATATCGTTCTCGTACAAAACTATACATTATTGCATGTTATGTGTTCATTCCGGCCTACTCTATTCTTGTTTCCGGTCTGCGCTTCTTCCAGACGAATATGGTCAATGGATTATGTGCCCCACTGGTAGAGTCTACGATGAAGCATGTGTTAGCTACCATGGAGCTCATATTACTCTATTTTCTACCAGTTGTCATTGTGATCATGATGACCATCCCAGTTGTATGGCAATTGCGACAGTCAATAATTGGTATTGGTCGTAATAATAATAACAACACCAGCAGCAGTAGCAGATCAGCGTCACAACAACCCAACTCGATCGAGACTGCCCTCACGAATGAAGATTTGAAGAGTGCTTTCATGGTTGCCCAGCGAGGCGTATTTCTCCACGCCCTGGTAGTCGCGATCGAACTCACTGTACTGTTATTTATCATTATTATCCTTCTAGCGTTAGATAAATTACAGCTCATCAAATACGGGGCTGCTTCCCCAATTCGCACATACTATTACTGCTTTATCTCACTGTTCTCCACGTTCAATTCGTTCGTAACCATTTTGACAGTGACTGCTTTGAGGCGGACCGTAGTGAGACACTGGCAAAACTGTAAGGAAAAACTTGTCCACTCACAGACCAGGTGTCAATGTTTGCATCGAGAATCCAATTGAAACAACGCTAATTGTTGTTGTATTTTCAACTTTTAGACCAGGAACATAACCGGAAATACATATCTTGACCCACGAATCACGTGCCATGTTGTTGATCGTTGGAAGGAAAGATGCTTGCTGATTTACACATACACTGTGTGCTCTGTGCGCGAGAAGACAAAAGAATTGGGCACTCTAATCGGTCTTGCACCTTGTGATAAGGCTTTTATTTGGTTAATTTCGTAGTCCGCAGAAAACCGTTGTTTGTTTGTGGATCTCTTGCACCGAGGTAATGTGCCATGTGAGAAAAGTGAGTTCTAAGCACGAATGATTTGGGAAATGATTTGGAAAATTTAGAACGACGGTTTTCAAACTACAACCGAAGAATTGTACAAAACGTGCGTGGGAATGTAAATTTATCTGTTCAGTTTGTTAATTTCTTCAAATGGTCAAGTTAAGGTAAGGAGGATATGGTGGGTCGTTTGCTGGTTGGAGCCATAAAACTCCGATTATGAGTGGAATGGGTGCGTGTGCATAAATAAAACTGATGAAAATAATCACGTCGAACAACACGAAAGGGATTAAAAGTACAAATCGGAAGGCAGTTTGTTAAGGGTTTGAGTTCACTGCTTTGTTCAACAACCTAGCAAGGAACCTTAACTGTGCGGCAAAAACCAAGGACGCTGGAGTTTAGTGAAATTAATGAAGAATATTTCAATGAGATTCTGTCGCTTTTTGATGTTTAGTGAAACGCTTTTTTATCTGGATGAAAAAATGAACACATGCCTGGGAATATTGGTAAAAGAGATATGGTTTGACGTAATGATGTCTCATGAACTATGTTCCCAACGGCAACTTTTCCTCGTGGAATTAGCAACAGTGGCATTGAAGAATTCCGAATAGCACAAATAGATACATTCTGATAATTTCCCCACCTTTTGTTAGGAATATTTCAACAGGATCATGATATTTTTTGTGCTAAGTGAGAACAATTACCAGTGAATAGAGTTGTAGCGTTTCGGGAGATTATCGAACTGCATCGCCCCACTCCCGATTTGGGAACCTATTTCCGAGAACATGAGCCACACGCTTGATGATCAACAGTTGTGCGCATGGTGAGATGGAATGAAGTTGTAGCTGTTTTCTTTCAATACGAAATCACAGTTCTCGCTTTAATAAATCATTGGGTTAACAGTATTCTATTCACAAATGCAGTGGACTCGATCGAGAAAAAATCCTATTTTAAAAGGATTTCTTTTTTGTTAGGTAATAACTTATTTCCAACACTAAATAATGGCATACTTTGGTCTTACTGATTCCACCTGTCACTAAATGAGAACGTAGAGAGGTAATAAGTAGTCAGAATTACTTTTGATAAATAATTCTACGTGAAAATCTCTCTCTTAGGTATCTTAGGATAGATGTGACACCAATTTGAGCGCAACAAGCTAGGAAAACGAAGCAAGTTTTAGGACGTAATAAGTAGAGATTGCCACAGAAAGCACAGTCAAAAGTAAAGTATAAGAATATATCATTCTTGGAAACTTTCAGAGAGACAGAGAGGTGAGTGTTGATCTGTACATTTACGAGGCATGCTTCAAAATTGAAGTTCTTCCCTGGGTTGAACCGTTTAAGTTGAATAGTAAGTTAAAGGGAGTGTGGATTTCAAGCAAGATAACGATAACAACAGCAACAATGAAAACCGTGCAAAAAGGGTTATTTATCTGCTTTGAATGTGGCAGTTCGCATGATAAACGATCCTAAATTTGGGAAAGAAGAAACTTCAGTCAAATTTCAGTTTCAAAACACAAGTTTCATTTCAGTAATGCCTAAATCATCGAAGCTATGATGAAAGCCTTGTCAAGAATTCTCCCCTTTTCTGTCAAGAAGAATCTCAAGGTAAACGGCCCTGAAAAGAACCGTATTTGTCAACCGGTGTTTTACCCAATCGTTTTTAGAAACAACCTGCACCCGGCGATGTAATACGTTCCCTGCCACACAATCCTTCTAGATGAGCGTAGGAAATAGTGACCCTCTTGTGACACTTACCTACTCCCATCCACCCGTCACTCCCTTTTTGTTCGTAAATCACACATAAACAACTAATTATATCTGACGATCCCTACACACACACATCAAACGTTATGCAATGTGATATACCTATTACCTATTTATATAACTGTATTAGCCAGATGAGGATGTTATCGAAAACGAGCTTGTTTGCTATTTCGCATTTCTTCTCAAACAGACAATATCTATTGGTCTCAGTATTGAGCAAATTAACATTTTTCAGTCCGAATGGAATTTTTATGACAGTGGATAGTGATTGAGACCCTCAAATAAGTGTTGGTGTGCTCGAGTCTCGCTTCAGACTCCTGTTTGGGTCTTCACTTTCCTGATGTCACGTGAATAATGAAGCGGTATATGTGTGCGAGACCTGATAACTGCCATCAATTTCATGGACTCTTCTACCAACGGGCCGCTTGAACACTCGTCCCTGACACTTTCCCATGAGTTTGGCTTGTTTCAGTCTGATTCGCATTTGAAGCAGAATAGCAAACTTGGAAAATAGATTCTACGGCAGATTGAGGGTGGGGTCATATCATATCATACCTTCCGGTATGGAAGTTTTTGCTCAAAAAATTTGCTTCTTTTATACTTTCTACATCAGAGATTAACCGTTAATTTTGGGAGTTTCGCTGGTAAAGCCGTTAGCATACAAATTTTGAAGGATTCGGTTTCGATAGTTTGAAGTTTGTCACTCATCACTTGATAACGTGAACAATCTCAAGATGTTCCGATGCAGCGATCGTAGTTGCTTTGTCGGTCACTTTGACATCCTACTTCCGATGACTCTTTTGAATGATTTCAGCTCAAAGATCCTTCACGTGTGTCCGCTTCGTGCGAATCCCCTGAACTACATACTGGTCATCATCATCATCATTCAATGAATGACTGCAGTGCTGTCTGATTCTCCTGAAATTATGTAACTTCTCGGTTCATAGGATTGTTGATTTAAGGGTTAGATGACAGATTTTGCTCTGTAGTATGGTTAAAAACCTGACGGTTAAAGTGGTTTTCAACGAGATTGTTTGAGTTTCAGCATCGGGCGTTCGAGTTCTACCCTCCGGAAGCATTAACACAAAATGAATTTGTTGGTCACATGACGTGGAAAGTCTACACACACGAGCGAATCATGCAGTGTAATCGGCAGCTTTGATATCAGCAGTAAACGACTATCACGCATTATACTGCACATGTGAAGCCACCCACGGTGTACATCCAAGCTGCCTGTCGGCTACAGTTCAGACTTTACTTTGATGAGATTCTCACAAACAAGAACCATGGTGCCGGGGCCACTTCAAGCGTTTGTTTTCGACCGAACACTATCTGAAAAAAATCAGGCTGAGACCAGTCCGTAATCGGGAAATAAACAAAACGAATCCCTGATTTCATCGTTCGGATTCAACGAAACATCAAAAACACTGGGCGTATACGCTTCCGTCAGCTTTACCACTATCACCCGCGAATCCTCCTCCACCGTCGTTTGCACAGCAGCAATGTTATCCGCTGTGGTGGCCTCCACAGACCCACCACAATGTGTCTTATCATCCAGAGGCAGCCTGCTACGCTTGAATTCCTCGAACAACTCAAATAACGTGCTTCCTGAGGGCGCGCCATCACCAAATGCAGCGCGCAAAAGATCGCCACTCTGCTGCAGCTGCTTTAAAACACATTTGTGGTCGAAGTAAATCATCGCCCGTCAGTAATATGGACTGAGGTCCATCTTAACAATTCGAGTATGGCGACCCCTATGATTTGTGAGCTGTCCTTAGCTGTTGGTATTTGGTTCTGAGTTGTAATCAATCATTGAACAATATTCACAATTCATGTTCACGTTCTCATTACCCGGTCATGTGCACCTCTGTACTGCGTATCCGAAATCTTCTTGCGCAACCCTCGTACATTTTATTTGTGGTTAGCCTTTGTTCACGCAATTTCAGAAGTGAATACTTGTAAATGAGTATAACTGCGAACATAATACTCTGAACCGGAGCTTGAACTGCCTAAACCAAACCTGGGTTGAGAAAACACAAATTGATTTGAGTACGGCTTTTATGGGTTATGAAATTCTAAATTCATCTGAACTTATGCTGAACTTATCATCGTTTTCAGTAAATTTAACCACGTCATCAAATAGAAGACAATAATCTCAAGGTTCACAACATGCAATATGTCCGTCGATTTTTGAAGCTTTTCACTTTCCATTTGTCTTGATCAAAGACGGGAGTCCTCTCTAGGAGTTCCCACCAGAAACCGCTGAGGAGAGAACTGCGGTAAGGCATTGGGACTCTAAGTGGAAATGGTATCCCTTGGATGCGTGTACGCATACAGGTACGGGATTAGAAGTTAAACTTTGAAACGAACAGTGGTTTTCCTATAATCCATTTGCAGCGAAATGCGCAATCAAAAATGCCACGGGTTATCACAAGGTTTTGGTCATTTCATCGAATATTCCGGTGAAAATGGTGTTTTGCTATCGGGATCCACTTTGAAATATATCTTTCACATTGGATACGGTTACGCAATACAGAGTATTGTTCACCCGAGAGCCACAAGGTAAACCTAACTGCTCCACTCATTCTCCGAAATTGAGTCCGAGTTCATTGTACTGCACCATTACTCTGATCTGTCCAACCCAGTCGGTTGACCTTTCTCGCTTCTTATCTCGTTTGCTCTATTTTCCGCGTTTCATACTCCGCGTCAAGGATATCACAATGGCAAAACTTGAGGTGGTACTATTTTACTTTTGTGTATTCAGAAGCCAATAGTTATTATCATTATCTGACAAATGCCTCTAATTTCCCAATCTGTAGCTATTAGATGCGAAAAAACATGCCTCAATTGCCCATGGAAGGATGTAGAAAATCAAATTCACATAATTTTTTTCCGGTTTCCTTCATGAATATAATACCACATGAGACTGGGCTTTGGCGATAGAATACCTAGGGAAAAGATGA